TTGTGTGCCCAACTGGAGAGGCTTACACTTAAAATTAACGGGAAGGAGGATACAGATTATTACCGGATATGGGACAAATGGCATAAGTGGGTAGACAATAAAAGGGGAAACATGTAAATGAACCTATGCTACAAATTATATCCAGCGATTCATAATATATTAAGTACAATTAAAACAATTAAAGGTTTTAAACTTTCTTTTCTTTGTTACTACTATTATCAGTATTAGCTATTTATAATATTTTTGTGTTTATTAGTTGAAAAACATGAATGTATTAGTAATAGAAGAGTAGTTATAATTCAATGTGAAAATAAATATTGTGAATTAGTTAGCGCTTAGGATGTGATAAGGTGTGAATATGTGACTAGTACTAGCCAATAATGATGTTTAGGACTCACTAACTTCAACAACAAATATAAAAAACTGTGTGTTATTATTGTTTCTGTATTGTTGGAATTGTGTGTTTTTAAATTTGTAAATAAAATTGTTTTTAAAACTTTTTTAAAAAAGAAAGAAGGTACCTTGTTGATGTCACACTTCTAATACTTCTTTCCCTGGTGGTATCACACATTTTTATATTACTGAGAATTGTTATTCCTAGCCTAATCCATGATGGAAGGAGCCTTTGAAAATTACCCTAACTTGTTAAATGTGAGAACATAAAGGTTTGAATGTGGGCAGCAACCACATCAGGTATTTGGAAGTAGCAAAAGGACATCCTTACCAAATAAAAGGTTGTTTGATTATGATTCATAGCACTCATCAAGACTTCTAATGAAAGCAGTGGTTTAATATATTTTAAAATATCTATCTAATTACAAAATGAAAAGATAAATATTTCATGTACTGCAATCACACACATTCCAGAAAAGGCTATTTAAGAACTTTTAGGCATATATTTAGCCCATTAAAACCATGCACACGCAAAAGAATGGTTTCCCTACTTGCACTGATCCAATATTGCTAATATGACACTGTAATTGTGTCTGTGGTTTGTTATCAGGTGCCTTATTTAAGAAAAATTCCTGAGTGTGAAGATTATCCAGAAGGCTACTATCAGGACTATTCAAGGCGGAATTATGTGAACATGGTTTGATTGTTCCAAATCATTTCCAACAAAGCATGTTTTAATATATTTTGTTGATTGATGTTTATTGCTTTTAATTTTGCACAGACCTGAGTCATATGTTGAACAGCTGCCCATATACTTTGAAAAACAGGCGGGGAAATAAAGAAAACAACATTAAACCTGTATCTTGAATTGCACATGGGATCAACTGGCAGCCAACATAGCTCAACACAGATGTTGAGTGACAAAGGGATGACAAGAGAACATTATATTACTGACTTATGTACTATCACTATTATTCTTATACCTAAAGAAAATTATGTAATAAAAGAAGCATTGTTGTAAGGATTACAACATCCCTTAAAAGTGTTAGAATGTGAACCACAGCTGCCCACAGCTGAACTGAAATGTTCTTTCCATTCATTCTTGAGTCCAGACAAAACAGCAGCAGCCTTGTGATCCCCATTGCTAATCACCATCCCACTTCTACTTCTGTGTTAAGTCCCTGAAGCCAACCAACTTCCTTCCAAGATAATGGATGACAGAAGACTTTGCTGCGTGACTTGCTAACTGCCAGCAGGCAATCCTTCCATAATCATATTGAAAGGACGTGCATGGACGTCAAGAGCCTCAGCTTACACTTTTGGGATTTAGAGACCATCTTTGATATGCTTTCCTGCTATGATGGATTGCAGAATGTCCAGCAAGTCCTGGGAACATAGTAGAAGAAATAAGGACATGGCAAGAGAGGTACCTTAATCCAGGGGTGGGCTTCAAAATTTTTAGCAAGGGGGTCTCTGCCTGGTTGCTGGGTGGGCATGGTCATGGTGGACGTGGCCTCGTCAGCTTCCTGCACCACATTGGGGGTGGTATTTTTTGCCCTCCCTGAGCTTTGGAGGCTTTCCTTGTGTCTCCGGGAGGGCAGAAATGGCCTCCCCAAGCTCTGGAGGCTCTTTGGAAGCTGGAAATGGGCGCATTTCTGCCCTTCCTGAACTTCCTGGAGGCCCATTTTTTGTCCTCCCCAAGCTTCCATGCCCTGCACTTATCTGCACCCAAAACAGGCTGCATGGGGACTCCTGAGAGGGGCGGGGCAGGGTGGGCGGAGCCAGCCAGGAGTGGGATTTGGGGGTTCTCTGAACTATGCAGAATCTTATCTAGGGGTTCTCCCGAGCCCCTGTGAACCCCCAGCAGCCCACCTCTGCCTTAATCTACAGGAGGGGGAAAAGCTCCTGAAAGAGATGTTTTCTTACATCAGACGTGACCAAGTTCTGCAGAAATGACTTGGGCAGGCTTTCAAGATTCGTATGTTGCCCTCCTAGAAGTGACGACCTTCCCAGAAATCCAAGGGGTTCTTATCTCTTGAGTCCGTCTGCCCAGGAAGGGCTTGACACCCGGCATACTTCAAAAGTGGGGCTTTCTGACTTGCACAATCATGAGCCTGGTATGTGGTTTTGCTACCATGCGCGCTCTTCATGTCTTTCTGAAACTTCCTCTACTTTGTGATGCAGATCTTGGGCATTTCGTGGATTGTTTTTTTTTTTTCTTTATCTCTAATAAGCAGTTTTAGTTCCCCATTCGGACCCTACAACCAGTGTTCCAAGGTGTAAGGCAAGGAATAAATGGTGAGAGAGGACCAGTGAATTACTGGAGTCTTCCCCCCCATTTCCAAGGCTGGGCTCATGAAATAGGGACTATTTTTGTTTTATTGAATTTATTGATTTACTTATTTAACAGATACCCCGCCTTTATTATTTTTACAAATAAGGCAGTGAACTTATTCAACACACCTTCCTCTTTCTATTTTCTCCCAAAACAACAACCCTGCGACTTGGAGCTGAGAGACTGTGATTGCCGTAAGGTCATCCAGCTGCCTTTCATGGCTCAGGTGGAATTCAGTCTCCCATATTGTAGCCTGGCGCCTTAACCACTAGACCAATCTGGCTCTCAAATGAGTGGAATTGACATGGCCAATTTTCCATAGTACCCCAACTATGAAATGGTGGTGTTTCCTTTCCCTGCACAACAGTCTACTAGTGGATGTACCACACAGATAAGTATTGAGTATGTGGGAAGAATCAATGGAAGTGGGGGAGGCTCATACAAAAAAATCTGTCAATGGAAACCACATGTCAACAAAACTCATCCTTGGGATGGAAAGTTATTGGCACTTGTATGCTTAGCATAGGTGGGAGGAATTTACAAACAGGATTCTACCAATTAGGAGTCTTAGTTGCCAAAAACCCTAGAGTCCCAAAGGTGCTTTTTCGGGAGGCCACTGGACTTTCTTGTTTTTTCTTTGAAGACATTTTGCCTCTCCTCCAAGAATCTTCTTCAGCTCTGACTGGATGGTGGGAAATGGAAGGATTTATATTCCTTGCAGGCAGCTGGTCATTTGCATCCTTTTAGAGAGTCTAATTCTATTAGAGAGAGAGATTCTCTAAAAGAATGCAAATGACTGAGTGTGTCCAGTGACCTCCTGAAAAAGTACCTTTGGGACAACCGTGACATGGATGCCTGAGAATCTCCATAGACTCCAAAAACCCCAATCGAATATTTAACTGGCATTATTGTCAAAGCTTAAGAAATGAAAGCTGTACCTTCTTAAATTGCTTACATTCAGCAGGGAAGACAAGAAGCTTGCTGGGAAGGAAGAACCCAAAGCCTGATGGAATTTATATACCTTGAAGTGCCAGAGTCGGAATAAGAGGAAATGCTATTTTAATACTGATACAACCCAATATGATGGACTGGGAATGACATGAAAGCAACAGCATCATGAGTGGATCAGTGGTGGGATTCAAAATCTTTACTACTAGTTCTGTGGGTGGGGCTTGGTGGGTGTGGCGTGGCATAGTGTGACTTGGTAGGCATAGCAGGGGAAGGATACTGCAAAATCTTCATTCCCTCCCCACCCCACTAACCTGCTTTCCAGCTCCGTTCTCCTGTGCAGGGCAACAAAAGAAGATCCAGTCGATCAGCTGGGACTCGGGAGGCAGAGAATAGATGTGGGCGGGGCCAGACAGAGGTGGTATTTGCTGGTTCTCCGGACTACTCAAAATTTCCGCTACCAGTTCTCCAGAAATGGTCAAAACCTGCTGAATACCACCGCTGGAGTGGATGATGGTAGACAAAAGAAGTTACTGGGGACATGTTTGGCTAGGTGCAACCTGGAAAAGTCTGTAGGGCTGTCAAATTCCTGGCCCGTGTACCGGATCCATCACAAGATGCCTACGTCCATGCCCAGTTTAGCAAAGGGGGAAAAAGTCCTGATATGTCACCTGACGCTGCCATGACGATGTGAGTTTGACCCCCTGATATAGAACATTGAAAATAAAACAAGGTTTCCAACTTTTGATCTCTACCTTGCCACAGACAGGTAGACAGGGAGAAACCTGTGTTATTCAAAAATGAATGATTGGCCCCTCCTGATATATCTGAAGAATCGCTGCTGTACTTTTAAGTAACAGTTTTAATCTCCCTCTCTCCCCCTCTTGTCTCTGATTTCTGCCATGCTGTTGAAAATGGTGGGTTCCTTAATAAAAATTTAAAGACATTTATAAAAGGCACCAAATCATCAGATCTGGAAGAGATTGACAGATGGTGCTTTCGGACACCATCAGATTATCAAGGGGCAGAAAAATGTTAAGAGTCCCTTCTATGTGTCACTAGCTGCAGGAGGCGGGGGAAGAATAAGCAGATTGTTCAATCTCATAAGCAAAAAAAATATCTACCACCACTACATGCCCTGAGTAACACTGAGTGATCTGAGAAAACAGATTTATGTAACCTGCCACCCTAAACCACAAGTCACATGGGTTTCCCCTATGCTTTTTTTTTTGGTATATTTTGGGCTAGAGTAGTTATGCTTTTAGCTGGCTTCCTCACTCATGCAATGCTCTTCGGTGCTGGATGAGTTCAGCTTGAATGCAATATGTCCTTGAAGAGGCTGATTCAACAGAGAGGCAATGCCAACTGTGTGGGCTACTGTCTCAGCTCAAATTGCAGCCCAACTTTGGAGCCAATTGATGGTCCACCTTTGGACAACCAGAGAAGCCAAATGTTCTCAGACCCAATTGGGAGATTGTCCAAGGACTGCAAACAGGTATGGCTAACTTCGGAATCCTTTGCAGGATTTATTTGTGTTGCCTATAAAAGGCATATTTTTTTCCTTTCTTTTTTTGGCTAACCAGAAATAGATTTGCCAGAAGATTTATTGGCAGATCAAAAGATTCAAGCCTAAACTAGCTTAAGAGAAAGTTTTGTACCAGGAGCATTGGTTGAATTACAGAAATTTAGTACGGATTTAGTTGGTGATATATATATATATTAGTGTTCTCCTTTCTTTCACATTGCTCTCTGGTTTATATATAGAAAAATGGTTTTATATCTATATACATGTGTGTATGTATTTTTGAACACTTTTTTCTTTCTCCCTCCCTCTTCTGGGATGCTTTTATTTCACCTGGCCAAATAATCCATAGCAATTTCAGCGCTACAAAAGTTGCGGGAGCGCAAGGCGCCCTTTGCTCTTCTCTCTCAGACAGGAAAATGTTTGAGGCAGTCGCTAGGTCAGGGGTTTGCAAACTTGACAGCTTTAAGACTTGTGGACATCAGCTCCCAGAATTCCTCCTCCAGTCATGTTAGCTCAGGAATTCTGGGAGTTGAAGTCCACAAGTCTTAAGCTTGCCAAGTTTGAAGACCCTTGCTCTAGGTAGTGGAGTGGTGTTGATAAAGGGATGTAATCCCAACTGATTTTAATGCAACCCGAAGGCAGAGCCCAGAGGTAGCTCGACTAAAGTCAGTTCTGGGAATTGCAGCCCTGACTCAACTGAAGGGAGCCAGGATAGAGAAGAGAAGATGCTTTCAGACCGCTTGTCACAGGTTCTGTGCTTACGGTCAGGCCATAGTCCAAGCCACCTTTAACCCAAAATTATGTTGCTTTTTCTTAAAGGTCTATCACTTGTGCCAAATGGGGGACTTTGCAGTATTTAAGAATATGTTGAGGAGGTCAGACAGTGGTAGTTAAACCAGGAGCTTACTGTCTATTTATAGGGAGATGAGATTTGTTGTCACAGATGTAATAATTAACTTCAGGCCATACAGTGGTGATGTTTAATTTTTAGATTACTTGAATAAATGTTTGCCTGATTACACAGCTGAACACTGAAATGTTCAATTTATAAAAATGTATGGGAGGAAAAAGAAAGTGGCAATGAAAAATAACAAGCTAACACCCTCCCTTTCCCCAAAACATGAATTATTTTATTTCTACATTACAACTAACATCAGACGTGCATTATTTTATTTCCATATTGCAATTGCCATACATCTCCTCTCTATGTTTTATTTAATGCTTTAACTTGGGAAAACCTACTTTTATCACATGTATGTACCTGATAAGCAGAGGACAGGGATATTGTCTGAAGGAGATAACAGTGACTGACAGGTAGAAGATGGCTGTCAGTTTATTTTGACTTATGAAGATTATCTTTGAGTTGGTTAGAAGAGAAGCAAGGTTTGGTTACTGAGTTCATATATAGAAAATCTCAGAAATCCCCCTCCTCCTTTTTTTTCAATCTCAAAAGAAAGTAATAGAAAACCACAGTTGTATCATTGTCAGCAGTGTGTAAATGAGCCGCCGAGAATGCATTTAATATTATGTTCAAAAGTCAGTAGATACTGTTGTTTGACTTCTTTTAACTCAAGGCAACAGTATTAAATGCTTTTAACTATTTTAATATTTCCTCTAGTTCATATGCCATCTGGAATTGGGTGGGTAATATAAACAACAAACAAACCATATTAAAAGGACCCAATTCATACCGTGTCTTGCCTCATTGGGGCTTCTACTTTTCCAGTGAGAAAGGGGCCACAGCATTCTCTCGATTTATGAACATCATGTGTATATCTAAAGATGCTTGAACCAAGTCCTCCTATAGGGTTTTAAGTAGTGCCAAGTTTAACCAAATTAGTAAATTCCAGATAATAATTCTGTACAACTAGAATGGGCCTTAGTAATAAAATCAAAATCTGCAAAAATACAGACTCCTATTGTTGTGGCTGCTGTTGCTGCTGCCGCCGTTGTTCTTTTTGCAAAGTTCCTTGATATTCTTGAATAAGGAATCTATGATGATATGGCATTTTGTACAGAAAGATGGCAGAGACTGCCCTGTAAAAGTTTTGGAAGAATAAATAAACTGGAATTTGCATATAGTAACAAAAGGAGATATACAAATTCAAACAGAATTAGAAGGGCACATACATATATATTTGAACAATTAGCAAATTATCATGTAGTATATGAAAGTTATCAATAACCAATTTATGGCAAAACGAAGGAAGATTTCCCTCACCCATCCTAAATTACTATGATAAGATCTTCATAGATCTGATGAGAGCTTTAGATGACTTTATGGAGAAGAAACTGTCCTTGATAACTGAATGAGATGTCCACATTGCATTGTTCAGGGAGGCTTTTTGACAACCAAAGTAGCTGCTAGATATGACAGCTAGTCAGATGAATATATTTCTATTCTACTAGTAGTTAAAGATGGAAGACAACTATTATGGTTATAGAATAGAATTCCTTTATTGGCCAAGTGTGATTGGACACACAAGGAATTTGTCTTGGTGCAAATTCCAAGTTGGTGCAAATCCCATTATGGTCCATATGTGGTTTTCTATATGAAAAAGTTGGTTATAAACAAAATTGGGGTCAATCAGAGCAAGATTTCTAACTTAGTTATACAATGGTCGGCTTCTCTTGAAGTATTTAGGAAAGCAGTTGTCTTTTTTATTTCACTATTAAGGATTCCTATCAATCCACATGTAATGTTTTTATCATGCAACTGATTTTATTTGATAGAAAAAATGCTTCTGTATGTGATGGAACTCATCTCCTGCTCTCTGTTTCTATTTCCAGCTTGCTTTAAATAGAACGAGCTCCATAAGCAAATCTACTGGCCCACACAGGTAATAAAGACATTACTTCGCTCCTTTCTTTTATTATTTGTTTAGTATCTACCTGCCTGTAAAGCAACAAATGTGCAGGAAGATAGAGGAACATAATGAATGGTGAGATATAAGCTTGAGATTACTGCAGTGAAATATGTGGGCTGTACAGAGGTGAAAAGATTAAATAATTCATAAGGGCAACCAGCAACAATACTGTTATGCCACATTGCAGCAAAACGGCATTAAGAAATTAAGTAGGTGTGTATATTAGATTAAAAAAAACCCTCTTGGAAGACATTGCATGCAAGTTCATATCTATGTTAAAGAAACTGCTGATTGATCTGGTAGCAAATGCATGAGGAAGTGACCCGCCATTTTATATTAAGCGTGTAACCTGAAAAGATGGATGCAGAAAATAAATATGCTGAATAGACATATTTGAACTGTGTGCCCGTTTTCCCAAAAATTATGCCAGGGAGATAAATATGAATATAAATTGCGAGCTGGAGGAGATGTGAGATAACAGCAAAATTGTTGGCCACTTTGGTCCACTTTGATTTCTCAGCTGTGTCCTTTGTTAATTTTTTTCATATGTTGAACTGATATGGTTATATTAGAGTGATAACCACCATCTGCTTTTCTGTCCCCTATCATGACTGAAGCCCATTTTGAATTCAGTAGAATTGAAAACTCTCTCAGGTCTATTTTGTTATCTTTTTTTAGTTCAAACTTGGAGGTCCTTGCCTTGCCTTTTATCCAATTTGTATCCATCATTTATTTCATTTATTTCACCATCATTCTTAGAGCCACTTTCTCCAACATGGTCTCCTCCAATATATTTTGGGATTTTGTGGTACTTGAAAACTTCTGGAGGACACCAAACTGGAGTACTCTTTGATTTCCTCAATGTAGGAGTTTGTTGTATTACTTTTGTTATCAGTAAAGTTGAAGATTATTTCATCAGAAAAGGCCATTCAAAAGTTATTTTTGTTCACTATATCTTCCAGTCACTACTGATAGCAATGTTAGATGGCATAGCTTAACAACTTCTTCCTATCTTATTTTTTGTGCAGAAAGACATTTAAAATCTACAAGGAAGACAATGAAACATTTGGATTTGAAATCCAGGTGAGGCTTTAACTTTGTGAATATGCATTTCTGTGGCTAATATGGCAAACAGTAATCCCAGAAGACTGATCTCAACAAAGGCATTCATTGATACTCATAGAGATGTTCCTTACTTATTGATGTTCACCTTGGCTCATTCCACAATGGTAGCAGGGCCTGAATGTTTCCTCTTAAAATTTGTAGCGTGCTCTGCATCAAGCATTCTGGGGCCACTGTGGAAAATTGAAACAGTAGCCCCTTACCATCCTTGGAGTGCTGCTTCTATTGACTTCCATACTGAATGCAGCACAAATGACAGGGAAGACCTATCAGAGTCATTTTGCTTAAGGAACTTACAGTTACATGCCGGTGCTGGGGCTTGATGGAAGAGACTTCAAAGTTAGCCTCAAATATGAAGCTGATGGAGCAATTTTAGGCCGCTTGCTGTTTGTTTACGGTATCTTACATTACACGTTTTTAGGGACAAACCATAACATTGCGCAGGCATATCTATGAAATCACAAGAGTGAAGTCACCATGAAAGAAACTGTCCTTTTGATGGCCCATTGGTCTCAGGCCCCTCCAGCAACTGAATCAGAGGAGGAGGAGGAAGTTTGGGAGTCAGGGTCAGCATCAGGGCAACTCGGGAGCTCAGAGGAGGAAGAGAGAATGGAGCTGGCAGAGAGAGAGAGACAGAGGTGGAGCCTGGGCCCTCAGATGGAGAGTCAACAACCCCCCAGGTCTGGAGGTGGCTGATGAGGAAGAGGAGGAACAGCTGGGTCCAGTGCCTGACATGCAGATGCACGGAAAGCAGAGGAGAGGAGAGCAGTGGAAATCCCTGGGCCGATCCTTGGGAAGGAAGAGCCACCGCTGTTAACGAAGCCCCACCTTAGCTCTGAGGATAAAAGGCAGGGGGCAGAGATGAATAGATGTGGCAGACAACTATTCATCTTCCAGCTGGACAGACTTGTTAGCCTGCGTTGAGAGGAAAACTTGTTGCAGGGGCTGCTGGCATTCCTAATAAAGGAATCTTTGAGTTAACTTTGTCGTGTTTGGGGAGCTGAGTCAGCAGAACACCTTTCTTTGAAGGGGAACAGTGATATGTAGCCATCTTAATTCTTTGAAATAAACATTTGAAGGGATTATGTGGCACAGACAGGCAATACAAGCCCCAAAACGAGGGATCTACTTCTTAAACATCTTAGCTATTCCTACGCAGAAGACATGTATGTGTCTGAGTATCTGCACTTTTCTCCCCTTGCCACTAAAACACACGCAAAGTGTTTCACTTTGTATGATTGTTGACCACACTTTTCCATGCAATTCTGGAGAATTAAAGAAGAAGACTAGAGCATGGTCCGCAGCAACTGGCAGTGGTGCCCAAATGACAACAACGGTGTGATTTCTGATTCAAGTCATGCCGTTTGCTGCTGATATCCCTTGTCCTCCTTTGTCACTCTGCCCACTGTCCAGCTGACTGCGGAGGGGGCTCTCTTTCAACCAAGAGATTATAGCCAAGTCACTGCAAGACAGAATGAAAGGGGATTATGTATTCTTCATGGGGCCATCCCTAGCAGGGGATAAAATAAGTCGTTGACCCTCAGTATCAGATTCCACGAGATATATCTACATTGTGCTTTGGAGAGAGTTGAGTGTCGGGTAACTGGAGCTGCATCTTTAAGTTAACTTGCTCCCTTTAGATGCAGGGATGTCCAACCTTGGCAACTTTAAGGTGTGTGGACTTCAACTCCCAGAATTCTCCAGAATTCCCCAGCCAGCAGAGCTGGGGAAGCATGGGAGTTGAAGTCCACACACCTTAAAGTTGCCAAGGTTGGACACCCCTGCTTTAGATGCAGGGAAAGGTGGTATTCCTATCACAGTTGAAGAAACATCCAACTGCCCATTCAATCAGATTCTGTACAGCATGTGGCATGGTAGGGGATGCTACTTTGCCCTTTGTCTTAGGCAGTAAAATGTTTGGGTCTGGCTCCTGGGCCTTCCCTTTCAGGGGTTTCTATGAAGGATGTGGGGTCAAACAAGAGAGCAGCCACAAATGTGTGCAATGCACCTTTTCAAAAGGGGGATTTCTGTTGCATGATTCTGCTGCCCTCTTGCTTTTCCAACACTCCCCACAATTCCCTTTTCTTCCCTTTACGGCATGTTCTAAAAGCTGACATCTAACATTGGGGAACAAGTACAGAGAATCTTCTGTGGCTCAATGGCCCAGCTTCCTCCTCATCATATTGCTACAGCTTGGTAATCAGTCATGAAAGAACAGGATAGCCCAGTTGCTGGGTGGGAAGCCTATTTTTTCCTCTGATTGTTCTTATTATTTTTCTTGAAAGGATAAAAAAAGAGGAAATGTTTCTTTTTGCATTTGACAAGTGAAGCTTTCCATGGGCGTAGGCAGTTTGGTAGAGTTGTAAGGCAACTCACCTTCCTGTACCATGTTGGAAGCTCAGGATAGCTTCTTACACATTGCCAAGAAGAAACACACCACCAAAATTGAAGACAAAACAAGACATCATTTTATATATTTTAAATTTAAATAAAATACACTAGCCCTTAGTGAGGATAAAGGGGTCTGTAGGAGCCATTCTGCTTGTTGAGTCTACTAACTGTTGCCTAACTTCCAACTATAATGAGTTACTTCAAGGGCTTGGACTGGACAACTCTATAAATGGACAATGGACAATGGAGAATACTTTCTAGTAGCCTTAATTCACATGTTTATCCCTGGTTGATTTACTCCCCTTCACCTGTTGGATTTGTGTGATTAAACCAGTCAATTGACCACCACCCAAGCTAAAGTATAGTTGGTTTCTCAATGAATCATGTGAACCCAACTAAAATAACAGGCTATTCTTTGAAAGGAGGACAGATGGCCACCCTAACGGTAGCTAGGAATTGGGGCCAAAAGCTGCAAGATAGAGTTTCTCTTCTAACAGCATTTTTTTGTTTCATTTTTTAATTTTAATTCTTCTATTTTAGTGCCAAAGTAATCATTTCATGGAAACTTGCACTTATATTTGCAACGTGAAAGAAGGAAGCCCAGCTTTTCTTACCGGACTCCAACATGGTAACTAATCTTCCTTAGCATTCTCATGGTTTAAGGCAGGGGTAGGGAAAGTTGGCTCTTTTATCACTTCAACTCCCAGAATTCCTGAGTGAGCCATAAAAGGTTCCCCATCTCTGACCTACTGGTTTTTCAGTTGTGAGGGAAATCAATTTTTGACTTGAATGGGAGTGTTTAATATACAAATGTAGTACATGATTCCAGCAAGTATTATTTTTATAATTAAAAGGTTATATATCAATATATAACAAAACATCAATATAGCAAAGGATTTATTATTATAGATCCTATTGAGTTTCATGTTAAATACTGCAAGATAGGCTATAAATCGGTATATGCTTATCCTTGAAAATAAGCCTGCCCAAATCTGTTAGGGCTTACTTCCAAATAAATAAAACAAGCTATAGAACTGTTTTATCCCAAACTTGTTCACCTTTTTTATGATGAAGATTTTGGTACCTTCTAATTCCACTAATCGACCCATAGTTATTCAGAAGTTTAGATCTAGGGCTACATTTGTATATTAAACAGTTCCATTCAAGTCAAAACTTGATTTCCCTCACAACTGAAAAACCAGTAGGTCAGAGATGGGGAACCTTTTATGGCTCACTCAGGAATTCTGGGAGTTGAAGTGATAAAAGAGCCAACTTTCCCTACCCCTGGTTTAAGGGATTATATTTCTGATAATGTAGAAAGGCTGATGAACACCACAATACATATTCTAACATATTTCATTTTGCAATTGTCACAGGTTACATCCTGATCAGCATCAATGGAGTGAGCATTAAAGGACTAAGTCACAAAGAACAGGTGGACATGATTAAATCATCTAGGAATCTTTTAAGGTAACCAAGAAATCTTAGGCTTATTTTGGTAATATTATGTATTTATTATTGATTGGGGTGGGCATTGCATTGGCTTTTCACATGCTAAGTAAAGGATATGGTTGCTCTTCTTAGATTGGAAAGCCACTACAAATGGGAACAAACATGCCTTTGTACTGTAAAGGGAGGAGAGATGGCAGTATGACTTTTTGATGGATGAACGAGATACATCATAACAAAGGGACAAAGATTAAATCGTAGCACTCTGCCACTCAAAGTTAGTTTTCAAAAAAAAAAAATCAGAAATAGTGGACAGTCCAGCGGTTGTTCTTTTCTCTCATGGTTTTCATGAGATTCAACAACTAAACTAAATAAACCACTTTTCTCATTGTTTTTCCCTTTGGCTAATTGAAGCATGATTAAGTAGCATTCTTTTGCAACTATTGTCATTTCTGGACTACTGGCACTTATTTCTTTTAACTTTTAGTTAAAAGAACTAAAAGTTTAACTTTTTGTTAAATTATCTTACAGTTCAGATGGGAGGGGAGTTGCATCCATTGTTTTCATCTCTCTCTCTCTCTCTCTCTCTCTCTCTCTCTCTCTCTCTCTCGTATCATTATTAGAGACCTCCAATAATGATACCACTGGCTATGATGGAAAAGTCACAGAGTCACAAAGTGAAAAACATTTGCCAACTCTAGCTTTTCTTGGCTCCTTAAATGATATTTATTTCTGCAGGCTATCTTTCTGAAATGGATTAATCCAAAACCACCCTTACTTCCATTCCTAGGGTTGTATTGCCACTATAAAATTATATTAAAATGATGGTGGTGATGATGGTGATGATATTAGTGATTCACTTATTGGTTAGACACTGATGATGGTATCTTTAATTCAATTTATAGGTTAGATACGGCGAATGAAGCCCTGATTATGAAAAGAATGGAGCTGGAAACCAAGTTGCATTGTATGAAGGTACGATTCCTATGTAAAACGGAAAGCAAGGATGGGCCCTGGCTTCAGTCAGATTCTAAGGTGAAGGGAACCTCCCTTGGGCAGCTCAGTGAGGTAAAGCTGGATTCCAGCAAAAGCAGCCCCACCGAAACAGGATTATTGTCACACTTTGTGAGTAATTCAATGAACAGAGAAACAAACAATCTAGAAACAAAGACCACATCCAGGTTAATTCCTCCACACGTGAAAAGACTTGATGTCAAAGTCAATTCCTCCACTTATCTACTTGGTGTTTTTATGCCAGGATTCGTCTCCCTGATTTATAACTATGGGTATAAACTCAACCTGTTAACAAATAATGAACTCAAAGATGTACAGCTATTTATTATTATTTGTTTAAAGTGCAACATTCACTGAAGCTACCTTAAAATTCTGCTGTCTTCTATAAAATTGGACAACCTTCTTGCCAAAAAGAACTATTTGGGCTAGACGACTTTCCCAGAGTTTTCCTTCAGATGCAGGGAGAATTCAAATGTGCTATGGAGGTTAAGATAATGTGATCAAGGCCAGGGAGATCCAGATTCACTATCAAAACTCAATGAGATGATGTTCCACATATTCTCACTCAATCTAATCTGCCTTACAGGGTTTTTCTAGTGGAAAAAAAAAATAGAGGAAGAAAGTATCAGCCACTGCCTTTTTCTCCCGGGGAAAATAAAACCAGGCTGTAAATCCAATAAACAAAAGTTAAACAAGGTTGTCCACTTCTACTCTAGTGCTAGCCCTCAAAGTTCAAGAAAAAGTTAGGGGAACAAAAGGGCCAAAATAGAGAAATTTTCAGCTGTACCATATTAATGGAAATCCAAGTCAGCTCTTTTTTACTTCCTTAGATAGTAATAGCACTTAGACTTACATACGTTTCACAGTGCTTTACAGTCCTCTCTAAGCGGCTTACAGAGTCAGCCTATTGCTCCCAACAATCTGATCATGTGAACAGGGGTGGGGGTCTGCAACGTTTGTAACAGCGGTGGGATTCAAATTTTTTTACTACCGGTTCTGTGGGTGTGGCTTGGTGGGCGTGGCAGGGGAAGGATACTGTAAAATCTCCAGTCAGAGGTGGGATTTGCTGGTTCTCTGAACTATTCAAAATTTCCGCTACCGGTTCTCCAGAACTGGTCAGAACCTGCTGAATACCACCTCTGGGTTCTAAGTGTGAGAAACGGCCATAAGTCACTTTTTTTCAGGGCTGTTGTAACTTTGAATGGTCACTAATTGAACTGTTGTAAGTCGAGGACTAGCTGTACTTTTCCATCCAGTCTTGAGACACCCTCAAGTCAGATTTGTCATGATGAGAAATAACTGAAGCATGGCATTGCTGCCTGATAAAAGGCTGAGTTACGTTAGTTTCCAAATGACAAAGTGCTGTTTTCCCTTTTGACAGAAAACTTTGCAAGATAAGTTGGCCGAGCTCCAGGCCTTGTGCTTACGAGAAAAGGACCTTACTTGCGGTAAGTCTGAATTGCCCTGTTGCAGAAGTAAGAAACGGTAACACCCAATTTTTGTACGGACGGTATGCAAACTCATAACTTAATGGTTATGAAGTTGCTTAGTTTCAGTTTTGTCTGCGTAGTTTGAAGGAAGTTCTGAAGAGGAATAAGAGCCATATGGTGCTTCTACGAAAAGTACACTTGAGATAGACTATCTAAGTTGTGGGTGTGCCACATCAAAGAAGTTGTAAAATTAGATATAAAAGTCATTATTTTTTTAACCTTGCCTCTCTGATGATTATTGGTGCTTATCAATTGCTTAGTTTTATTATAGTTCTTTATCAGTTCTCCAATAAACTTTTGTGTAGGTGCACATGGATAGAGCAGATACATTAAGTAAACCAGCACTAATTTTTCTGTCTGATTCATATAATCTTTTCTGGCGGATTAGGAGTGGGAAAAGAATCAATATTCTTCATATCAGGGTGCACAGAGTGCTCTAGAAACTTCAAAACTAATTTTGGTTTGTGTTTGTTAATTTTTTTCCCTTTTGGACTCTGCTGAGTTCTGATTGACAATTAAATCTTTCAAAAGGTGTGTGGTTTGTTTATTTATTAAATTTATATGCTGCCTCTATAAGGTCACTCTGGATTTTTTAATTTGTTTAGCTTGGTCAAGCTCATGGAAGGGGATAGTGACAGAAAAAAGTTGCAATCTGGACTTTCTAAACTATAGCTTAGCATCCAGCGTCTGAAAATAATCCAAGTGATAGTTCTCACTATTCTCTTCCATTGAGTTTGCTGGCCCTGTATCATAGCAATTTATTGTCTCTTTAGAGTCAACCAAGCATTTTTTAGGCCAGTGTTTCTCAACTTTGGGCACTCAAAGATGTGTGGACTTCAACTCCCAGAATTCCCCAGGTCAGTGGTCAAGGTTGAGAAGGACTGATTTTAGGCCAAAATGACACCAATGAGAACAGGCCTTATTGCTTCAACAGGGCCGAGTGATACTAGGAAACCTTTACCAGTGATTACCAAGGAAACAACATTAAAGGTTGCTAGGGATTGTAACTCAGAAATATGAGAAGACCTTCAGGTCAGCCTTATGCCTGTTCAACTCTCACATTCATACAGAATAAGTTTGGAAACTAACCTTTTGCTCCACAGGTAAAGGCTTCCGGTGTCTTCACAGTAATCAAATGGCACTTTTGGTATTCTTCTGGTACAAACAAACATTTCTGAGAATATAACGCTCGTTCTCTTCCATTTGTTCTTTAGGAGAAGTCTGCTCACTACCAGATTCTGCAGGATTAGAAGGACCTAATATCTTTGGTGATCATGCTGGATTAGAATCCGCACTGAGCAGTAAACCCCGATTTTCCAGCGAAAGCAGCTGCTTAAGCCTCCTTAGCTCAATGACTGTGGATAGCGAGGACAGTTTTTACCAATTCAGTGTTTCCAAAGACCCCGCTAAAGAGATTTTTAGCCGACAGTCAAGCACAGAAGATGACTGCTTTCTTCCAATTGGTAGCAATGAAGTGAAGAAGACATCACTGAGAAGGCATCGGAGTATCAGTGTGACCAGCAATGTCTGTAGATCTCCTTCAAAGAATGGAGATAACTTCTCAAAGATCTTTGGGACTCTCCCACGGAAAAGCAGAAAGGGAAGTATTCAAAGGAAGCTGTTGACTTTCATTCCTGGCCTTCACCGAGCTGTGGAAGAGAATGAAAGTCGTGTCTAACAGCAACTTTAGAATGACGTGGAAATCTTGGACTACAATTTGCATTTTTGAAATCAAACCTGGCCTGCATTTCATATTCTCAATCAGCAAATGAATGGCAGTAAAATATAGCTTGGATTGATAACTTTGGGATTTTTTTTTTTCCTGATATAGTTTCAGGACAACTGGATTGATAACATACATTTGGGTGTTATTTGTGGATTTTTGGCGGGAAGCTGGAAAGATGGTGACTAGAGAGTCTTTGCCTAGTAATATTACAATATAGGCCTGAAACAATGAGAAGGTAGCAATTTGTAGTAGCTAAGACTTCACATACATCTATAAGTGTTCAATTGCTAGCAAAAAAAGTTAAATGTATTTTTAAAATAAAAATATATATTGTCCTGGTTCCCCAACATCTGACTCGCACCTGGTAAATCTGGGTAATGACTAAGCCAACATGATTTATGTCACTCTAATGTTTGAGGTAGACAAGTGAAGCATTAGAGGTCTTTGCCCAAGGACCCACACTGGCAAAATACAGGGAGTTTTTGACTTACAACCATAACTGAGCCCAAATTTTCTGTTGTTGTGAAACATTTGTTTAGTGAGTTTTGCTCCATTTTACAATCTTTCTTGCCACAATCGTAACTTGTAACTGAAGTTGACAAGTTAGTAACTTGGTTGTAAAGTGTATCTGGCTTCCCCAATGACTTTGCTTGTTGGAAGTTTGCAAAAGCTTGACCACGTGACCTTAGTGCACAGCAATGGTCATAAATATGAATCAGTTGCCAAGCATCTGCATTTTGATCACATGATCATGGAGATGCTTCAAAGGTCGTAATTGAAAAATGGTCATAAGTCATTTTTTCCCAGTGCTGTTGTAACTTTTGAACAGTCATAAATGAACTGTTGTAAGTGGAGAACTACCTGTAGGTACCAGTTGGGATTTGAACCCAGTCTCTCCCATTCCAACCACTGTCTAGTAATGTGACAGCAACATTAGGAGAAGGGATTATGAGAAGGTGGAGATGTGCCAGGGCCTGTAGGAGGCGCTAGAGGGGATGTGGAAAGTAGAGTCCAAAGTGATCCCAGTGGTCATATGAGCACTGGGGGCTTTGACTCCTAAGTAAGGAGAGGGATTCCAACAAATTCCAGGAACAGCCAAGATCCCTCAAATTCCCGGGGCCCAAGACTGAGGAAGACACAGTCTACCCATAGGGGTAAGAAAGGTTTTTTTAAAAATGTAAATAAATGTTCTAAAGAAGCTGTATGTGAACCAGAAATCTGTGTGACTATGTTCAGAGAAATGCAATGATTTTTATGATTGGAACACTTTGGAAGAATATAAACATCATGAAGCCAATTGGAATAAGGGTGAGAATTAAAACAGGCTGCTACTATACTCATCGACCTATAGTCCAGTGGTCACCAATCAGTGCGCCAGGGACCACTGGTGGTCCATGAGAAAATTTTGGTGGTCCACAGAGAAATGTCACCCCCAAAGCACCCCACAAAGCAATTAATCCAGGCTGCACGGGAACACAATGCTGTGCCACCCACATGGCCCATGGGAACACAAGGCTTGCATCATTTGCATTGTGAACAACATGAGTAGTGAGGGGAGGAGGGAAAGGGCGGAGGGGGGAACTTGCCCCACGCACCTGGCCTGGCCACCGGCCGGCTTCTTTCCACTTCTTTCTTCTTCTGCTTTTGGCTGAATGCAAGGAAAGCAGCAAAAGTCTTTCTTTCTCTCCCCAAGCTCTGCCAGAAATGAGTCTTTGGGACCCTTCAAGGCATCCTGTTCCAAGAAGCTGTGCTGGTGCAACAAGTCTCACAAAACTCACTTCTGGTGGAGTTTGGGGGAAGAGAAAAAAAGACTTCTGCTGCTTCTGCTGCTTTCCTTGCATGAAGCCAAAAGTCTCTTTCTCTCTCCCCCGAGAATGAAGCTGGAGATGGTATCCCGCAATCCCAAATAAAGAATGATCAATTGGTAGGAAAACAGGGTGGGGAATTTTCCTGCAGACTTTTTTTGAGATTTTCCCAGGGTCTCTGGTCTGCGGGATTTAAAATTATGAGTTTGGTGATCCCTGAGATCCAAAAGGTTGGTGACTCCTGCTATAGTCTACCCCTTATTTCTTGTGGAGGAATTGAAGCTGGAGTAGGCCCAAAGGAAATGTTGTTAGCATACTGAATTACGATAATAGCTATTGCTTTTATATTTTTATATATTGATATTTCCTGTTCTTTGAACTCCCTGGCTTTTTTACAGAAGAACTCAACATTGAAAGAGGAAGTGCTTCAGTACAAAGATTCTACCTCTTCTTCTTTTTCTCTTTATAAATATAGTCTGAATGATAATTTAACCCATGGGTTAATTAGAATATTGACTTTTAAGCGTTCAAACTTTGTATTTATTGCCTGCTGCTTTGCGTTTGAGCTGGTTGAGAACACATAGATGCCGAAATTTCAGTGAACTCTTCAAAAATGGAAACACTGGAGATTTGTCATCCAAGACTGGAAATAAAAAAGGAACGGGTCAAGCAGACTGAAAAATAAAATGTCAAATATCAATATCCACCTTAAAAAAAAAAAGTAACATTTGGATTTGTATTGCTTAAAGGTGTTTGACTAGTTCCACCTTTGAAGTAAAATGGTTGAACTGGCAAACTTCCTAAGACACCAGTCTCTGGAGAGTGAATCTTTTAGAAGGAGACTAATCATTTTTAATTTCCAGGCAAAATGTTCCCATTCATAAATCAACAAAATAAACACTGCTTTGATAGTACCACTTAGCAAATTTCTTCCAGTTCTTGTTCCCTTATTCGCCATCCTGGGTCCTGTTAGTAGACGGATTCTGAATAGACATACTGTTTGCATTTCCAACATGGTATCTGAAGCAAACTTTAACTTAACGAAGCATGTGTCTCGACTGGTATAAATACAAACATATCAATCAGCTAAAGATAATTCTCCATCACAATCTCCAGGGGAACTTCGTGGGGCAGCTGCAGTGTTGCAGTCAATACCTGCAGTTTCAGCTTATATTATTACCTTGAGTGCAGCTGAGACTTTCATTTCTCTTTCCGGTGAAAATGCTCCACACTTGAATTTTTCCACAGTGCAGCCTGAAGCTGCTTGATTACTGTGTGTAAACTCTCCAGAAATGAAGCCAGCTTATGAACCCCCAGTCTGGATTTCAGCACCTTTCTCTACTTTGGTCCCAACGCTGGCCCTTTATTCTCTTTGGCCAAAGGCTACTTAATCCTCTAACAAATGGATCTCCCTGTTGTTGTTTTTACCCTTCCCATCCTGGCCATGCAACAAGCTATAATCACTTTCCTTTATTTGAGCAGGTCAGGAAAAATGAGAAGGAAGGGAGGAAGGAAGGGAGGGTGGGAGGGAGGGAGGAAGGGAGGAAGGAAGGGAGGAAGGGAGGGAGGGAGGAAGGAAGGAAGGGAGGAAGGAAGGAAGGGAGGGAGGGAGGGAGGAAGGAAGGAAGGAAGGAAGGAAGGAAGGAAGGAAGGAAGGAAGGAAGGAAGGGAGGGAGGGAGGGAGGGAGGAAGACCAGCCGTTCACTTGGACTAGAAGGGGAAATCGGTGTGTGTGTGTGTGTGTGTGTGTGTGTGTGTGTGTGTGTGTGTGTGTCTTTTAAATCCAAAGGGAAGAAGAAGAAGGTTCCTTGGTTCAGGTCTCCTTGCAAGAGGACAGGTGGGAGCCCAGGACAATATGATCAGAGAGGACAGTGAAACATTCCTGACAGCCTCTAAGTAGCCACTTGAGAAGGCGTCTATCTGTAATGAAATGAAAACTAGTAGGCAAACTGACAAGTCAGAAAACCCTAAGGTTTTATTGGAAATAAAACAGATATTAAAGATAGAGTACCACTGTTCCATATTTTAAAACATTAGATGGGGGGGGGCATTAATTATTGAAATCAAATAGAGCAGATACCACGGTAGGTGAGCCCTTTAGCATCTAGTCCCCATATTGGAGATTCCCCCGCCCCCCATAGCATTTAAAAATAAAGCTACCTAAAATCACTAAAGTCATATAATTAAACACCCGAGATAACCGTGGGCATAAGTAGTACATCAGTAACAGCACAAATAGCACCGGAGTATGATCATGACCAATCAGTTATCCCAAAAGTGTTTTTCCCAAGAGGCAAATGGACTTCCTTGTTTTTCTTTGAAGACATTTAGCTTCTCATCCAAGAAGCTTCTTTTGCTGTGACCGGATGGTGGAGAATGGAAGGATTTATATTCCTAGCAGATAGCTGGTCATTTGCATTCTTTTAGAAAGTCATTGAGGCCATTTGTAGGTTTGACTATGACCTCCAGGTTACCTGAGTGGTGCAAATGATCATGGAGCCTTTTGCACCTGTTGAAAGGACTGTGTTGTAGACAGGAGATAGATGAGGTCATATCCTTCCCCCTCCATTGAGAGAGGATTGTTTAATTTTGACATAGATGGCCTCTTTGACCTTCTCTTTCAAACCAGCAGTCCTCTCGGTCCAAAATGTAGATGTTGTTGTCTTCAAAAGAGTGGCCTTTGTCTTTTAAATGTCGATGGATTGCAAATGGATTGCTGAATCTTGTCTTGATGGGTTTGTTTTCATATGCTGTGCCGTGAGGAAAAAAAAAACTCATTAGGACAAGATTCAGCAATCCACCTGCATTTAAAAGACAAAAGCCACACGTGACCCTGAGGTCATAGTCAAACTTCCAAGTGGCCTCAATCACTCTCTAAAAGGATGCAAATGACCAGCTGTCTGCAAGGAATATAAATCCTTCCATTCCCTGCCATCCAGTCAGAGCTGAAGAAGCTTCTTGGATGAGAAGCAAAACCTCTTCAAGGAAAAACAAAGAAAGTCCAGTTGGCTCTTGAAAAAGCAACTTTGGGACAACCATGACCTGGATGACTGAGAATCTCCATGGATATTTAGACCAATCAGTTGCTGAGGTAAATTTTATAAAGCATTTAGTTTTTATTAGTGGATGTGGGTGGAAAGCCTCATAAATGGCCCTTCTGCACGTACTGATGCCAAGAAGATGAGTGAATATATTACTTATTCTTTACCAAACACTTTCCAGATTTCAGTTAGACACTGGCATGTGAAAAGGAGACAGAATTACTGCCAAAGAAGAGCAAAGAGACCTTATATGCCCAATACCTGAGGGAATGAAAGTCAGTTCATTTGTGCTTAAATAAAAGAGAAGGCACCAGGCAAACATCCATAAGGAGCAAATTTTAGAGATGGTACATATAAAAGTGTGTGAAGAGGCAGTGGGAAACTTGCCAAGAAGAGGACAAGAGAGTGTTGGGGAGTGGTTCTATCTCCTCTGGTGTCTTTGTAATGACATTAATGTGTTCAGAGCTCTGGGAGTTGTATTATTTTTGTCCTGTGGTTGAGATGTGAAACAGTTCTCAGGCACAACCCACCCTCTCAACATGAATCTGAAGCTGATCTGCAGACCAGGCTTGTTTACAATGCTAACATTACTCAGGTGGGTATGTGTTGCCTGTTTCTCTGAAACAGGGAAGAGAGGAAGTGGTTTTCTATAGTGTTGCTATACACCAGCCATTGCCACAGTAACTTTGGCTTTGCAGTCTTCACACAGATGACGTGAAAACTTTCAACTGCCAGATGTTCTTTCTGAAAAAAAAAGTCCTTGAATAAATAAAGAACCTGTGCCACTTTTCTGGCTTCCATCCCAACAGAAACACAGGTTGAACAAGAGCAGCGTGACCACACACACTTTCCCTGAAAATTTACCCCTCTCTCCCAATTATTTAAGCCTTATGTATCCTGATTTATTTTCTCTGAGCAATGGGGGGTGGGAGGGAAGATGAAGAGCCTGATGGGCTAACAAGCAATGGCAATTACATAATACTGAAATGCAAGAGGAAAGATCAGAAGCATCAGCTGGACCTAGGAGAAACCAGGAAGGAAAACAAGCCTGGATAATTCTCCAGCTGTTGCCCTCCAAGCCCTAGAAATGTTCTGAAACAATACTAAGAAAGTGCAGCATTGAATGTCTATGGAGATCCTCAGTCATCTAGGTCGTGGTTGTCACAAAGGTGCTTTTTCAAGAGGCAACTGGACTTTCTGTTTTTTTTCTTTGAAGAAGTTTCACTTCTCATCCATGAAGCTTTTTCAGCTCTGACAGGATAGTAGGGAAAGGGAGGATTTATACTCCTTGCAGATAGCTGGTCATTTGGTCATTTTTATCCTTTTAGTAAAATAAGAAGGGCCCAACCTTATTTAGCTTTAGAGCCCTGATATCAGCCTTGGTAGCCTTAGTTGCTGGCTTTTTGAAAGTGAAGGATCCTTGGTACGCTCTGACTTTGGTTGTTTTCTTGCAGACCTTTCATTACCCAAACTAGGTAACATCATCAGTGCTAGTCACTAGCACCAAGGACC